CCCAAGTACCAAAACTTGAGCAAGGAACACAAAGGCCCAAGGGGGTGGGCAGGGCTCTGCTAGGCACAGCACCATTGTCACTAGTGTGCCCCCTTACCCCAACCACATCAGGACCAGTGAACTCTGCTCTTGGCAGTCTCAGGTTGGGTGTTAGAATAAACAGATTGCGGGAGGAGCCCCAGATTACCTCTAACTCACCCACAAACTACCATTGTAAATAGGTGGGGCTCTTAAGGCGAAAGAGGCTGCCTCCAGGGCTCCAATCCTCTGCTGTATACTGAGATGTTGAGAAGCTACAGAAAACCAGAGAGGGTCCTTACAAACTCCTCATACCTTCTGCACTGGGGGCTCGGATGGTGCAGCCTTCTTTCCCCGCTGCTTACGGCCCCGGGCATAGACTCTGAGTAAGAGGGCAGTGAAGACCACAGCCACTCCCAGTCCCCCCACCACAGTGACAGTGTGGCCATAGAGGAGGCAGGACAGAAGGATGGCAACCGCCTGGCGGAGAGTCATGATGATGGTGAAGACAGCAGCTCCGAACTGTCCAATGGTGTAGAAGATAAAAAGCTGACCAAAGGCGGAGCAGATGGAGAGGAGGAGGGCATGGAGTGCAAACTCACTGTGCCTTCCCATGAAGCGGGCTCCCTCCAGTAGGGCCCCCTGCTCCAGGAGTGAGCCTACTGTGAAAAGACAGGAGAACAAATTGACCCCAAACATCATCTGCACGGATGACATCTTATAGGCAAACAGGGCATCCTGCCAGTTTGAGGTGAAGCTGTCAAAAGCGATGTAGCCTGCCAGCAGAATCAAGCCTGAGAGCGTGGTGGCTGGAGAGCTTCGGGGCTCTGGTCCACTAGACAGCAGAAACATGCTAACTCCGATGGAGATGAGCCCGGCGGTCAGGTATTCCCAGTGTTCATAGCTTCGTCTAGACACCAGCTTTCCCATCATCATGACAGGAATCACCTTGGAGGCCTTGGCCAGCACCTGGGTAGGGAAGCTGACAAACTTAAGCGCTTCATACTGGCACCAGCTGCTAAGCACGTTCGACAGACTGGCAAAAGAGTACCGGTACATGGGTGCCCCATGACGGGGTTGTTTGCGTAGGACACAGTAGAGACCCGCCACGATCAGTGCCAGCACGCGGTTCATTAGTACCAGGAACTGCGAGTCCGTGAAATGCTCGCCTGGTGATGTGGCTGTGGCCCCATAGCTGCCGGTCATCACTCTTTCCTGCAGTACACCCCAAGTCAGATAGGACACCTGGGAGAGGAAGGGGAGAATGGTAGTAGTAAACAAGGAAAGGAAGAGGTGGAAGTCTCCATTGATTGATATGACGTAGCCAACACCATCCTTTCTGGTTCCTCTCTAGGAGAGGCTTCTTTCCCAAGCTGCAATCCACCTTGTAGAGAATCACATGGAGTTGCAAACACAGTGATGCCTGCTTTTAGGATCACACCCTGTCCATCTTCTTGGCACATGTTCATTAGAGCTGGCTCCATACACCATATAAAGTTATTTATTTTGAACCAATTGAAAATAACCTGGAATGTTTGGAAACCTCAGGGTGGGCTGGCCACTTTCCCTTCAACACACACCTAAGGTGGGTTGGCACACACTGCAAACTATGGCCTGTGATAGCATCCTACTCACAAAGGAGGAATGGCTGCCTAAACTTTTGTGCGTGTGGTCCTGGGGATCAATTGTGCTTGGTAGGCAAGTACTCTACTAGCGGGTTATAACCCCAGAGCCCCTCCCACATTATTATTTTGAGAAAGGGTCTTGCTATGCAGCCCTAGTTATCCTAGAACTTGACGTGTAAACCAGGATGATCTTCAACTCAAGAGATCCACCTGCTCTGCCTCCACACAACACTTGATTTATTTTATGTTTTGACAGAATCTCACACTAAATTGCTCATGCAGGCACTGGACTTTTTCTTTTATTTTTTAGCTTTTCTTTTGTTTTTGTTTTCCAAGACAGGATTTCTCTGTAGGTTTGGAGGCTGTCCTGGAACTCTCTTTTTGAAGACCAGGCTGGTCTCGAACTCAGAGATCCACCTGCCTCTGCCTCCCGAGTGCTGGGATTAAAGGCGTGCGCCACCACACTGCGTGGCTTTTTAGCTTTTATTTATTATGTATATAGCTTTCTCTCTGCACGACAGCAGAGGGCACAAGATCTCATTCAAGGTGGTTGTGAGCCACAATGTGGTTGCCGGGAATTGAACTCAGGACCTCTGGAAGAGCAATCAGTGCTCTTAACCACTGAGCCATCTCTCCAGCCTGCTTTTCAGCTTTTCAAGACAGGATTTCTCTGTGTAGCTCTAGCTGTCCTGGAACTTGCTCTGGGGACCAGGCTGGCCTCGAACTCAGAGAGATTCTCCAGCCTCCAGAGTGCTGAGATTTTTTTTTTAATTTTTATTATTTATTATGTATACAGTGTTCTGTCTGCATGCATGCCTGCAGGGCAGAAGAGGGCACCAGATTGAATTGTAGATGGTTGTGAGCCACCATGTGGTTGCTGGGAATTGAACTCAGGTCCTCTGGAAGAGCAGTCAGTGCTCTTAACCTCTGAGCCATCTCTCCAGCCCCCAGAGTGCTGAGATTAAAGGTGTGTGCCACCACTGTCAGTCGCTGGCCTTGAATTTTCAATTCTTCTGCTTTAGCTTCCAAATAGCTGAGCTGACAGCTTGTGCCACCTTGCTTGACTTTCCCAAAAATTTTGTCAGTGAGCTCATATATTAGACACAGAACACAGAGCAGAAAAAGAGCACAGAAAAAAAAAATACAGAAAAGACAGGCCCTCTTAGACACTAGCCATCATTACATATTGTGTGGTTAACTTTCAGGAAGGTGTTGAAGGAGGAAAGGGTTAGAGGAAGAAAGTAGCATTTCCTTCAACACTTTCAGGGTGGGACTGTCCTGCAGGGACATAAACCATACCTAAATCAACAAACCTTTGGGATGGGCAGGACTTTGGTTTCCAGAAGTCCCTGGCTGTCTGTACCCAACCTGGGAAGAGAAGGGGTGCCTGTCTACTTACCTGGAGCCCCGAGGCACAGAAGATCAGCTTCAGGACCTGCCAAGAGGGACTACTATCTGCTGTCTCTGTCCGGGGAGCCAGCGGAAGCTCATCAGAGGCCTTGGGCTCATTGCCAAACACACAGGCCTTCACCAGGGGAAAGCAGAGACCCCTGCCTGAAGAAGACACACAAAGTCAAGCTCCACAACTTCTCTAGAGCAGCCAGCCAGCCCCCCATCCCCTACCCACCCCCCGACCGACTCACTGGCCTCCCTCCCTTCCCAAGTAACGTTCTGCTTTGAGTAGCTACCAACACCTGCAACCGTACCTAGCTCATGTCCCCACCCGTTGACCACATTACCTGTCTCCAGGTAGTTCTTCCGTCTTAAGTACTGCACCAGAAGGTAGCCAGGTACCATAAAACTGGCATAGCCAGCAACGTTCAAGAAAAAGCGGAAGAACCACAGCTGTGTCCAGGACGGCGGAGGGGCTTCGGGTGACTCTCCACTTGCTCCCGAAGACGGGAGCGCGGCGAGCACCACCACTGCCCACCATCTGCTGGGACAGCCAAAGCAGCGATTAGGGTTGCAGCTCTTCAGGCCCTCTGCCCTCCGGAGGGGACCGGACCAGGGAAGTGCCCAAGTGGCGTCCCCGCCCCCTCCGCTGCAGTCCAGCGGGGCGGACAAAGAGCCTCTCTATCCCTCTCTCTCTCGGGGGGTCCGACGCAGGCCAGGCAGAACCTCCTCCCTTCCCGGGGGCCGCCCCGCCTGCCCAGCCACATAGGTCGCCTCTGTTCCCTCCAGCGCGCGCGGGCAGCTCAGGCCACAGGCGCTTCCCCTCCCACTCCGGAGCGCCACAGTCCCACATCCCCTCCGGGCGACATCCCCGAGGCCCCCCCAGGAACACGGGACACACGCTGCACTCCCCAATCCACACCGGCTCCTGACAGCGCCACGCGGGTCTGCAGCTGGAAGACCCCTCCCCGCCTCCCGAGCCCGGGGGTCTCGGTCACGTGGCCCCGGGGTCTCGGTCACGTGGGCCATGGCTGCCCAAGCGCCCCCACCTGGCATCCATGGCCCTGCCGCGTGGGGCGGAGGGGGGACCGGGGAATGCGAGTCCCCGGGCCGCACGCTCCCTCCGCTCCCTCCGCTCCCTCCGCCGCCCGCTCCAGCAGCCAGCTAGCCAGCCTGCCAGCGGAAGTGCACGCTCTTCCCGCCTCCTCCCCGCCTGAGCCCCTCCTCGGAGCCCCGATCACAGCGCCCCCGCGCGGCCCGGAGGCAGACCAGCCTCGGCTCTCGCGGGGAACCCCAGTTGGGACTCCCTCCCTATTCATAAGCCAGCTTGGTCGCAGTCATCAACCCTTGCCATCCCAGACACAGTGACGACTATTGCCACCTAGTGGATCGGACTTTTGAGTATCTGAAACCCAAGCACTTCCTCTTATGTTAGTTTTCCCATTTTCTTTTTTCTTGCTTGGTCTTTCCATTTTCTAACTATGATGTCTCCTTCCTTTTCCGGCTGGGTCAGTGACTATCTCCCTAGTACCTGTGACCGTGACTTCAAGACTCTGTATGAATTCGTGCGTCCTCACTGTCCACCACTCACCCAACCCTGCAGAATCCTGCTGACCCGTTTTCAGTTCCTTGAACTAACGGAAGGCTTTCCCTCAACGATCCGCCCCTTTCTTTGCTCATCCTACGTCACAATTTTTCTTTTTTTCAAGACAGGATTTCTCTGTGAAGCCTTGGCCATCCTGGAACTTACTCTGTAGACCAGGCTGGCCTTGAACTCACGGAGATCCATGTGCCTCTGCCTCCCGAGCACTGGGATAAAAGGTGTGTGCCACCACCAGGCTCTATGTCCTATTTTTCTGACACCCACCTGAAACTTCCTTTGGCCACCCAAAGAATGATCCTCCACTCACTCCATTATCTTCCTCCCTTCTAGTTTTTCCCTTCCCAGCCACTTATGACCATGTATTTAGTTGTTTATAATTTTAATAGCTGTCTCACTCACAGGATGCGCTTGCTTAGAGTTTATAAATGCTAAGCATCAGAAACTACGTTGGTTTATTTCTTCTGGGTCTTCATGCCAGTCAAGGGCCTGACCTAGCAGGGCCTCAGTGTGTGGAATCTAAGGGGAAAAAAGTAGAGTTGCAGCTCTCTTATGCTCAACGTCCCCAGGCTTCTTCAGGGACACGTGTCTCCATATTCCTCCTCACTTTCCATCCCTGGGCATTTCCACGTGAGATGTGTCTGCGCTGGCACGAGACAGGCCTGAGAACTCATGCTCCTATGCTATCCAGCAGAGCCCTTCTCCCCTCGCTCAGGGGTCAGTTTCCTTCTGTCTGCGTTCACCGCGGGATCACAGGTCATGCCTGCCTATGCATACAACTGTAGAAGGGAAACTTTCTTTTTTCTTTTTTGGTTTTTCAAGACAGGGTTTCTCTGTAGCTTTGGAGCCTGTCCTGGCACTCACTCTGTAGCCCAGGCTGGCCTCAAATTCACAGAGATCCACCTGCCTCTGCCTCCGGAGTGCTGGGATTAAAGGCGTGTGCCACCACCGACCTGCGGGGGGGGGGGGGACTTTGTTTTTTTAAGTCTCTCTTCCACTTTAGTGTCATGTTACAGAACTGTCCCTTCCCAAAGGCTCAGTTTGGAGCCTTACGTATGAAGTCTTTAGAAAAGTGTGTTTTCCCAGGCCCACTGACATCAGACCCATCAGGCTGAGACAGAAGGATCCTAGTTCAAGCACTGCTTGGGCTACAGAATGAGTTCCAGGCTACCTCAGGCAACTCAGTGAGACCCTGTCACAAAATTAAAAGTAAAAAGAGGTTACATGGTAGTAAGCTTGCCTGCCACTGGGAGGCTCTAGGTTCAACCCCCAGTCCCAAGCACACTCACGAGGGGTTTTAGGTAAGACCCCTCAAGTCCTGTTTGCTCATCCCTGTTTTCCTGATGTTTGGCAATTTCTGCCCATGCCATCTTCAACAGAAGCAAGCAGGCTTCACTCAGGATACCTGGGGCTTTGAGGGTCTTTCAAGACTCTCCATCCTGTCCACTTGGGAAGTTCTTCCTTCCGGACTGGCTCTTCCTCATTTGTAATCCTTCCTCTCATTTTAGGACTCCACTATCCCCAGGCTCTGGCCTCAGCAGAGGGGCACGTTGCTTGGGCCCCAACTGCAGCAGCTGTGGCTTCAGCTTCCAGGTAGGAAGAGGCGGGACCCTTGTTCTGGCTTCAGTCAGTACACAGCAGTGGCTTCCCGGAGATTTTCAGGTCATCAAACGGTAAATAAGACAGGAGCTGAGAAAGACAAATGCAGAGAAAACAGAGTTAAGATCATGAGAGAGGGCGGCAGGGACCTGGGAGGCAGGAACTCTGCCAATATTGTCTTCCCAGACAGTGAGTGTGGCCTGGGCATGGCAGAGCCCCAAAGCTTTAGGCAAGCTCTACAATAAATCATGCGGGACATCTGAGCTAGGAGTGGCTTAGAGCTGATCCAGTCCATTGGACTCTGCTTTGTTGGTGGTGTGGGGCGTGGGGAAGGGCAAGCATGAAATGTCTTGAATATTTTTATTTGTTTGTTTTTTGAGACAGGGTTTCTCTGTAACCACATTGGCTGTCCTGGAACTCACTTTGTGGACCAGGCTGGCCTTGAACTCACAGAGATCCACCTGCCTTTGCCTCTCAAGTGCTGGGACTAAAGGTGTGTGCGAGCATACCTGGCTGAATATATATATATATATATATATATATATATATATATATATATATTTTTTTTTTTTTTTTGGTTTTTCGAGACAGGGTTTCTCTGTATTGTTTTGGAGGCTATCGGTCCAGCCCAGCCTCAAACTCACAGAGATCTGCCTGCCTCTGCCTCCCGAGTGCTGGGATTAAAGGCGTGCGCCACCACCGCCCGGCTATATTTTTATGTATAGAAAATGTGAGTTTTAGCGGGGCAGTGGCGGTGCACGCCTTTGATCCCAGCACTCGGGAGGCAGAGGCAGGCGGATCTCAGTGAGTTCGAGACCAGTCTGGTCTACAAGAGCAAGTTCCAGGACAGACTCCAAAGCTACACAGAGAAACCCCTGCCTCGAAAAACAAAATGAGAGAGAGAGAGAGAGAGAGAGAGAGAGAGAGAGAGAGAGAGAGAGAGAGAGAGAGAGAGAGAGAGAGAGAGAGAGAATGTTGGTTTTGCCTGGTGGTGAAGGTAGAGGCAGGAGGATCTTTGTGAGTCCCAGGCTAGCCTGGTCTATAGAATGAGTTCCAGGACAGGGTCCCAAACTAGAGAGAAACCCTTTCTCAAAAACAAAACAACAACAACAACAAAAACCCAACAAAACCTGGGAGTGGGGAGAAGTTTCAGAGGGAAGAGGGGTTGAGCTTAGGCTGGCCCTGAAGTTGCTACACAGATGAAGACCTTCAGTATTTGATCCTCCTGTCCCTTTCCCAAGTGCTGGGATTACAGATTTATGCCAC